CAGTTGTGGCCATTTGAGGAGTGAACCAGCGGATGAAAGCTCTCTCTCTCTCCCTCTCCCTCTGCCTCTCTGTGACTTTGCCTTCCAAATGAATAAAATAAATCTGAAGTGAATTTGCATCCATCATTTCCTGCCCCTTGGCAGCTTCTCAGGTCATTGGTTTCAGACTGAATTCCAGGGGCTAGTGCTGGCCTGAAGTGCCGGCATCCCTTATGAGCGCTGGTTCTAGTCCTGGCTGCTCCTCTTCCAATCCAGCTCTCTGCTATGGCCTGGGAAAGCAGTGGAAGATGGCCCAAGTCCTTGGGCCCCTGCACCCGTGTGAAAGACCCAGAAGAAGCTCCTGGCTCCTGGCTTCAGACCGGCGCAGCTCTGACTGTTGCGGCCATCTGGGGAGTGAACCAGTGGATGGAAGACCTCTCTCTCTCTTTACCTCTCTTTGTAACTCTTTCAAATAAATAAAATAAATCTTTTTTTAAAAAAAAGACTGAATTACAGTACCTGCTTCCTGTTTTTTTAATTTGGGGATGATAGTCTGGGATATCTTGGGAGTCAATTTCTACTTTATTTTCTTTTTTAAGTTAAATTTTTTTATTAATTTTATTTATGTGGGGAGAGAGAGAGAGAAGTCTTCCATCTGCCTGTTTACTCTCTGAATGTCCATAACACCCAGGGCTGGGCCAGGCTGCATCCAGGAGTCAGGAGCTCAATCCAGGTCCCCCACATGGGTGGCAGGGACCCAAGTACTTGAACTATCACTTGCTGCCTCCCAGGGTGTCCACTAGCAGGAAGATAGACTCAGACTTGAATCCTGGCACTCTGATACAAAATGTGGGCATCCCACGCAGCATTGTAATGGCTATGCCAAACAGCTGTCCCAATTCCTAGTTTATATATAGAGAGTCAGCCTTTAGCATTAGTAAATTCAACTAACTGTGAATCAGAGATGTCTGGGGAAAATTGTACTAAACCTATACAGACTTTTTCTTGTCATTATTCCTTAAACAACACAGTGTAACAATTTATAATATATCAGGTATTATAAATAATCTAGAGATGTCTTAAATTATACAGGAAGCTATGCCTGCTATATGCATATACTATGCTATGCTATTTTATCTAAGGTACTTGGGTGTCTAAAGATTTTGTTATCTGCAGAGGGTGCTGGAACTAATGCTTTTGGATACTGAGGGATACCCGTATGTATGTATATGCGCGCACACACACACGTATATATCCTATTGGTTGCTTCTTTGGAGAACCCTTTGGGATGCCCAGACCACTCCCTGCCACAAACTGTTTCCCAGCTACACCCCTGTCACCTTCTTGAGTCCCCTGCAGCCACTCCCCCCCACCCCACCCCTTACAGACACGGGTTCCTGGCTTGGGCCTATCTCCACCCCAAGAGCTGCTGCCATCTTGGGGGTTCTAAAGCTCACACAGTTCAGGGTGGCAAGCTGAGGACCACAATGTCCAATTTCCAACCAACTGGCCTCTTTTGCTTGGCCAACTGTGTTTTTTGAAGACCTCGGTGGGGGAGGTTCCCCAGGACCCTCTAGTCTTTTAGGGTCTTATCTCTTCCCACATCCTGCCATTCTGCTTCAGAACCCACCTCTGTGCCCCCACCCTGCCCTTGATACAAATACAGAAATTGGGTCCACCCCCCAAAAAAGAGAAAAAAAATAGGAAAGAAACAACACATGGGGTCATTCTCCAGGAGCACGGAGGAAGGGGGAGATGGGAGAAATATATACAGTGTAATCTTTAGATGTTGGTGAATCTGCCAGATGGACCTGGTTGATCACTCTGTACACTTCTGTGCAAAACTAGCTCTACAAGGTCAGTTCTCTGGTTCATGGAGCATGTCTCATTAGCATAAACTTTTAATTCCTCGATTGGCTCACATACCATGTCTCATTAGAATACACATCGACCAATCAGGAAGAACTTCCTGCTTTAGAACCGCATAAAAGTCCGAGCCATGCAGTCAGTCCTGAGGAGCAACTCAGGACAAGCCGTCCCCTGGATCAGGCAGCCCACTGCAGGGCAGGCCCTCCTGGTTGCTGGAGAGCTTCGCTCACTCCTTCGTTGTCCACGTTGTCTGCGAGCCTCATTCTTCATGGTCACAGAGAGGAGAAAGCTGTAACACAAAAGAGCTGCAACATGTGAGATGTACTGATCCTGAAGAATGGGGGGAGAAGAATCTGCCACATTTCTGCTGGGTGACACACAGACCTGAGTAACCAGAGCCACAGACTCCTCCTGCCACTACTCCCATAAACACTGACATCAGAACTCTCGGAACAGGACCAGTATGAGCTGTGTTTTGACACTCGCCTGCTGCCCACAGCTTCCCTCCTTCCCCTTTGCTTCCTGCCTCCCCAGTCCTGTTCTTCTCACAAGACCCTTGAGCCTGCCCTGTGCTCCTATCTGTGCTTGTGTTTCCTTTCTTCCCTTTGTTTTCCTACTCCTGCCCTACAAGTCCCTTTCAAACCCCATTATCCTGTGATAAAAAAATTAGGTGAATCTAACCATCCACTCTCAGGGGGATCATCCTAAAAATGAAAGTTTATTAGTCATTTGAGTTCTTATACACCTCCAGAGATTCTCCCCAAGCCACAGGACTGCTGGCTGTATGGATAAGTACATGCTGCTCCCAAATGGTCCTGGGTACTCTGCTTCTTGCAAGCTCCTTTAGCCCTGTGTACTCCATCCCTTACCCATGACCCTGCATGCTGAGCTTTTGGGATTTAGCCACTGCCACTGCTTTCATGAACCTGCACCTGTGGAACAGCTGTTCCCTTCACTCATTCTTCCCTTGGCTGACTCAAGTCTTATTTAAAAGCCCAATTCCTTATTTTCCCCCATAAAGAAATGACAAAATGTTTGAGGTGATAGGTATTTTTATCCTGTCTGGATACTATACAATCTACACATGTTTTGAAGCATCACATGGTATCCCATAAATAGGCACAGTTTTTAACGTATCCATTAAATATAAAGTTTTTAAAAAAAATAGTGCAGTGTTCCAAATATTCCTAATATATTGGGATTATTAAACTGATCCCCAAAGGGGCAATTTACAACCTCAGGCAAGTGTCTAGAGTAACAGGCACACTCATCATATATGAGTATATACGTGTGTGTGTGTGTGTGTGTGTGTGTGATATACCACAATAAGCTAACTGTTGGTTTGTTAAACCTGAAGCTTATGGCTTGCTTTCAGGCTGGTACTAATCACAAATAAATAAATCCATGATTCAAACAAAATAAAATCCATTTCTTTCTATATGTTTATGTATAGGCACAGAGCAAGGCCAGCAAGATGCATCAAAGACAGATAAATAGGGGTGGTTAAGATGACCTCACCCCATATTTGAGTATCTTGAGTTTCATCCCCAGCTGCAGCTCCTGAGCCCAGCTCCCTGTTAATGCGGATACTGGGAGGCAGCAGGTGATAGCTCAAATCCTTGGGTCCCTGCCACCCATGTGGGAGACCTGGATTGAGTTCCTGGCTCCTGGCTTTGGCCTGGCCCAACTCCAGATGTTCTGGGCAAATGTTAGTGAACAAGTGAATGGGAGCTCCCTCTCTAATGAATTATTTTTTAAAAGGCAGTCAAATAATTGCTACCTCTTTGGAGGGCCAGAAGCAATCAAGACTGGAGAAAGTTGGTCAAAGGGCCCTTTAGCTTTATTTGTCAAGTTTCTACTTTTTTACAAGGATATTTTATTGTTTGTGAGAGATAAAAACAAACAAAGAGCCAGTCTAATAGCAGGAAGCCTTCCCCAGACTTCCCAGGCAGATGGTGCTGTTTCCTTTTCTGGGACTGAACAGCACCTTCCCCTGCGTTCTACGAAGTACTGTTGTGTTACAATTTGTTTTTCTCCCTGTTGAGATGGGGAACCCCCATAAAGAAACAAAATTCAGATTCTCAGTGTCCAGCTAAGTGTCTGGTAGAGAACAGGTGTACAGGGAGTGCGGAATCCAACAAAGTGCCTTTGCTGGTGGGCTCCTTTGAAAGCTGCCTGATGCTAGTCCCGAGAGGCTGAATAGAGTGGGTTCCAGTGTTCCAGGAAGAATATCTCACAGCCTGAAATGTGGGCAGAGGAGTGTCCAAGACCTGGGGTTGTGTCAATATGAAGACAAGGCTGCATCCGGGCCCCATAAAGCCAGGATCCAGGACAGTGCTGCTGCCTTGTCACTTGGCACACTTCTGAAGCCACTGCCTCCTCAGCAGATAAAGAGTGAAGAATGTATCTCTAAACCTTGCAATTGTCAAGCTGACCCCTGATCTGTATCTTTAAGATGGAGAGGCTGCCCAAATAAACAGACTGTCCCCACGCAAGGTGGGCCTGGGAGGTAGGAGTTAGGGAACACTCAGGCCAGCTCAGAATGTCCCAGGCTTGGAGGGAGCGGCTGAGCAGCTGTGCAAAGGGCCTGAAGAAGGCACCTGGAATCCTTTAATGGTGAGAACCTGCAGCTTTTGCAATTTCCCAGAGAAATATGAGCTCCCCAGAGATAGAATTCTTAGATCTTATCTATCGCACATAGGCAAGAGAGCAAAGGAATGGCCTTAATGGGTCAATTGGTCTAGGGCTAGACAATGAGTAGGAGCGGCTTGTAGAGTTGGCGAAGTGTGTGCCACGTGGCCAAGGATGTACCTTTAGAGGTACAAATGGCAAGGAGGCTGTAGAAGGTTCTGGATCAGTCTCTCTTCCACGAATGCGCCCACTCAGCCTGTCTTCAACCTCATATAGGACAGTGTCCCTGTGGCCTTAGAGTAATGAGGCTAGGTACTTGGACTCTCAAGACAGGGCAGTGATGGCGACAGCAGGAATTCAGTGAGCAGTCCCCTGTAGCCTCCCTACTGCTTCCATCCCTTCCAGCTTCCTCTCATTTAGCCACCTGCAACCCCACCCACCGTGGTCCTCAGAATTGCTAAAAGGACATCAGACACTGCACACCTTTAGTCCCCAGCCAAGAACAACCCCCAGTCGGCCCATCTCTTTGCAAGTAACTTTTATTTTTATTTACAACAGAATTGGTGGCTTTATTCCTCCATCTTTAGGGGCACTTGGCATCAGCAACCAGACGGAAAGTCTGCAGTGAAGTCAAACTCATTCTGCCCCAGCCACAGCTCCGGAAGCTCATTGGCCCGGTCCAGTCCCAGTTCCACCACCAGCGACATCAGCACCTCCTCATCCACTGGGTCAGAATCAATGATAGCAGGGCTCTGGGCACTGGCAGCAGCAGGAGAGAGTGACTCCGCTCCTCCTGCCTGAGCCTCGCAGCCCCAGTTTTGCAGGGCCCCTGCCTCCCCAGGTTGGCCAGGAGTGGTGGCAGCCACCCCATGATACTGGCTATTAAGTTTCTGCAGCTGCATACTGGCTAGCAGGTGAGGGGTGGGGTGCACATTGAAGGGTGGGGGTTTAGTGGGAGGGGTGGCAGTAGGAGAGCCCATTGGAGATGGGGATCCCGAGGAACCAGTGGGAGCCCCACTGGCCTTGGTTCCATTTGAGGCCCCCCCGGGGTAGTGCAGGATGGCCACTGCTTTGCGATCTTTCACTCCCAGGTCAGAGTAGGCCAGCGAGCTCATCTCGGGGTTGGCATCCTAGAAGAGAGAGAGGCAAACCATAGGACCCCCGCTCCTGGATTGCCCCTCCCCATTCATCAGATACAGAAGCTCCTGTGTGCACTTCATTTAGAGCGAAAGGTGAGGACCCGCTGGGAAGTTAGGCTCCAGTTCAAGTCTCCTTTGGCTACCACGGCTCTGAGCAGAGTTCAGCCCCCATCCTCTGCTGGGGTACTCATCTTCCTAAGTGGGTTCACTGCCTTCATTCACCCCCTTTCCTGCCTACTCCCTCTCACCACTCCAAAAAGGGCATCTCCTTGTCCCTCTCCTTAGCCTCACTCTAGTCTTGTGCCGATTCTACAGCTCTCCTACCATCCCAACCATCTTTCGACAGGTCTAGCCAGTTCCATTTGATCGCATTAGGCAGCAGCTCTTCTCATTCTCCTCTGAGAAAGCCCTGCACTCTCCCCTCTGCTCTGGACACCACAAGTCAGAGGGCTCAGCACATGATCCCACGTGCTTCCCATGCCTCAGTGTGTCCATCTGTAAAATGGCAAACTTACCTCCTTCACAGGTGAGGCGCCACCCTTGACATCCAGTGCAGGCCTTGACATAGTTGGCATTTCAGAGCCTTGGCAGAAGTTGGATAAACCGGCGCGAGGTGGTGCTGCCAGCTGGAGCTGCTGTGCTGTCAGGGAGAAGAAGTTACAAGGATGAGAGGCTTCAAAGGACCAAGAAAGTATTAGCAAAGCCTGAAGCAGGACAACTGCACAGAGTTCCGAGGCCAGCATGGTGACAGGGGTGGGGGTGGGGACAGGGCAAAAGCCCAAGACCAGAGACCACCTGAGCAAGAGGGGAGGGCACCAAACGGCTTTTGCCTGAGGCAGGAAAGGGGTGGGATTCAGCCAGGTGTTGCCCAGGCAGTTATCTACCCAAGAGGACACACAGGGCTGTTTCCTCCTGCAATGGACCTCAGACGCCTAAACTGAGGGTGGGGAGTGGTGATCTTCTGGTCCTGAAGGCAGGAAATGCCCCCTGACTAGGCAGCACACTGTCCCAGTGGGCCACCAGCGTCTGGGCTGGAGAGCTGGGCCTCCCCCTGGGACTTGGGGAATGTGGAAAGAAGTCAGGGCAAGGGAGACCCAGAAAGCTGGCAGTGGTGCAGAGAGAAGGAACAAGTCCCCAAAGCAAAGGTCATGGAGCGCCAAAGCCTGCTTCGGGCGTCCCTGTTTTGAAAGCTACGCCGATCATGGCAGGCCGATCATGGCAGTCCGATCGGCAGTCCGGGGACTCTGAAGCAGCCAGATCCATAGAGCAGCTAGGAACGTCTCGCTTCCCTCCATGTCTCCAGTGCCATCCAAGACAGTCTTAGCGTTGCACTTTGCCAGGACACCTGCCCTAGAGCCCAGCCACACCCATCAGTAGGAACAGGCAGGAATAATTCTTCCTTGAGGGACGCGGGGGCGCAGAAATCTAGTGGTTTTCCAGTCAGGTAGCAGTGGTTCTGGAAGCAAGACCCAGCACTCCTATGCCCACATGCGTCACTTGACCACTGGCCAAGCCATCACACCTTAAATGACTTCCGAACAAACGACCCCCTGGTTTAAGTGCCAAAAGATAAGGGGATGAAAGCAAGAGAATACTACAAAACCGGAACATAGTAAAAAGCAATCTGAAAACTCTCCAAATATTTTCCTAGAAGCTTATATATATATATTTTAAGTTCCATGCATTCTAGCCCTCATGATCAATTGAAGATGTAGCATTTCATGCTTATAAATATAGTCCTCTTGGTGCAAAGATTCTCAAGGACCCTAAGACATCTCTAATTTAGACTTCTCTAGGCTAGAATTCTCCGCGACACTAACCCCCTTCCCTGCCTGGTCACTAAGGATCTGCTCAGTTGCTTCGCGAAAGGTGTTCCTTATTACCTCTCTGTGTCTATCTTTGCACCACTTACTTGGGGAGTAGGGGCAAGAAAGAAGAGAGGAGAGGAAGAAAGAAAAAGAAAAACACCATGGGAAATATCAGCAGCTGGGTCCGCCACCACTGTTTGGAGCCCTGCTCCTTCCTGGAGGCAACCCTCTCCTCCGGGGTCTCCCCCAGGTCTTCTAGCTCCTAGCACCTTCAGTGGCAGGCAACTTTCATGTCCTAAGAAAAACGTCCGGAGACAGGGGGACCCTGCCCATCTTTTCCTGTTCCTATTCAACCATCTCTCTTTTCTACGCCGCGTAGCCCCCAAAGGTACCAAAAAATAATAATAATAAAACCAACCACACACACACATCACACAAGCAGCAACGACAACAGCAACGAGAGAAAAAGAAAGGAGTTAAAGAAATACGGGGGGAAAGGAGAGAACGAGAAAAAAGTATCTGTTCTGATATCAGTCCATGGTGAAGACTATTTTACCACGTCTCCCCCTTCAGGCTGGGAGCTCGCCTAAGCGGGACCCTGTCTCTATTCAGTTTGGTCGCCTCCCATCAACGCCCCACCGCCTGTTCTGACCCTCCACCTGGGTCTGTGCTCCGTAGGCGCTCAGTAAATGTTGCTGAAGCCGCTCTGAAGCAGCAAGCGCACTTCGATCGCTATCCCTGGCCCTGCTCCTCCGATTCTGTCCTTTCTCTCCACTCCCCAACCCATCCGAAGGCACAACTTAGCAGCGCGGAAACGTCCCAGCCGGCTCTCCAAGCCGCGAGCCGACCCCTGCGAAACGGCTTCGAGAGGCGGCTGGGAAACCCAGAGCAACAAGTGCCTCCTCGCCGGCTGGTGCCTAGCGGCCCCCAGCCACCAGCTCCCGGTCCCGCCGCCCGCCCTTCGGTTCAGGCCTCCCCTTGGGGGGGCAGCCCCCTCCCGCCGAGATGAGGGTGGGAAGGGGGAGAGGAAAAAGACAAGGGAGAGGCAGGTGGGGGGGCGGAACCCGTCCATAACCTGTTGGGGGATCAAAAGTTAAAATGGCACCAACCGGATGGCTCCATCTCGATTGCTATTTTCTCACTCAGAAGGAGAAATTTAAAAATCCAAACAGCACTGCGGCTTGGCTTGGGCGCGCTCTAACCAGACCAGTCAGTTTCGCCACCTGAAAACTAAAGGCCCGTTGTTTGCGGAGAGCTCGGCTGCCCTCCTCGCCGCATCCCAGATGGAGCCGCCGGAGCGGAGGGCGGCAGAGAGCATCCCTGCCCGGTGGGAGCGAGCGCCCCAGGCCGCCAGGACCCCGAGCGTCCGTTCCCACAAATGCTGTGACAGGGACTGGTAGCGGAGGATTGGACAGGCGGGAAGGGGAGCGGGATCTCGGCCTCGGCGGCGAGTTTGGGGGCTCGCGGAGGTTCCGCGCGCAGGGGCGCACTCCGCAGCCGGCGGCCGCCACTCCCGCGCCTCACCAACACTTACTGAGCGCCCGCCGAGTACCCGACGCGGCCGCCGGCTGAGCCTCCCCCCCACCCCCCCACCCCCTTAGCTAAGCCGCCGGAGGGTAGTGCTAGAACTCCTCTACCAAAAGAGAGAGGTTCGGAGAGGTCCGGTAACTTGCCCAAGGTCACAGCGCTAGAAAGTGGTAGAAGCAGGGATTCGCAGCCAGGTCTGTCTGCCTCCAAGTCCGGCGCTCCGCGAGGCAGGACTCCGCGGGCTGCCCGGCCGCTCTCATTTATAGGGAGAGGGGTGTGTGTGGGGGTGTGGGGGGGCGCGCGCGTGTGTGTATGTGTGTGTGTGCGTGTGTGTGTGTGTGTGCGCGCGTGGAGGGGGGAGGGCGGGAGGAGCGGAGGTCCACTGGGCAGTGGAGGCAAGTTGCCCAAATTCGCTAACTTCCATCCCGCTATTCTGCTGAACTCGGCCCGAAAAGCCCCTCTCGCCTCCAGCTCCCGAAGGAAACCTGAGCTTTGTGCAATCCCTGAGCCGGAGCGTCCAGATGCGGTCCGGGCGATTAGCAAAGTCGGCGGAAACCAAGCTGGAGAA